GCAATGTTTCTCAGCTGAAGTGGATGCAATTTGATATTTTAAATCTTAATGAATTGAACTCTCTCTCAGGTTTTGTAAATCCCATACGGTAAATCCAATTACTGAAATTTAAAAGAATCTAGCCACATTTTTCAGGTGGTTGGGGTAAAATTTGGAATTTTGGCTTTTAACTAATACATTCATTTAATATGTTTGAAGCCAGTACAACGGTAACCTCAACATTTAGAGATTATAATCATAACTGATTTGTTACCAAGGTATACAAGCGTATAAGATATTTAAAGTGATCGAAACCCAATAGATTCCTCAATAGAATCCTCAATAGATTCTCAATTTTTTTTTCAGATGTACTAAAGGTATTATTTTGATTGAAATTTCCGCACTTGAGAATGGTGTAATTTTAAGTAGTAGTATTAGAAAACTTTTTACCTATTCCCCTATTCCATTGTTTTAATAAACTTAACAAACTAACAAAACAAAACTAATAATTTACTGTTTCGCAGCTACAGTTGATTAAAATACAACGAGTAAATGAAAACAAAAACGCTGACTAAGCGGCAAACATTTACGGAACATTTTAAATATTGAAATTTCAATTTTGTAATCTACAACTGTCATCCTTAAACATGCGAATCCACTATTCATTTAATATTCAACCACGAACAAACAAAGTTGTGGTATTCGGATATGCCAGAACAGCTTTATTACGTGGCTGTTACTGTCAGCTTAAAATGTGCTTACATTTCAATTTTCTCTCGTGGACAGCAAAAAAAAAAAAAAGTTTCATATTCTGCGGGGAATGCCACAGGTGATAGGGGAGGCAGACAGTCTTTATCTTTGATGGGATTTAATGAATGTAAAAACTGTTGAATAATTCGAAGGATTGTGGGCAAAAAGAAGATTAGTTTTTATCGGATTTCACTATTAACCACTACGCATTGAGGTTTTTACCATTTCTTTTAAATCAGCCCACTTTATTCTGTTCAGCATGCCAGAATTTTGCATGTTTATGATGGGGTGTAACCTTAACCCAAAGCAATATGAGTGTGTCGTAATTCGAAGAAATAAAAGAGAAAAATGAACGTTTTCAACATTTTTATGTTAGGAACTCTTCTATGGATATAGGTCCATTAATGGCCTTAATTTTGCTCTGTATTTTTACAAGAAACGCATTCTTTGAAAAAATGTAAGTGACCTTATATTAGAATTTCATAAATATTTGACAATAAAATTACACTCAAATCAAATCACTCGAATACAGCTTTTTTATAAAGGAGGGCATATTAACTTTGTCATTCCGTTTTAACATCCCTAAATATTCGTCGCAGACCGCATAAAGAATATATATATTGATAATCAGCATAAAATTCTATGTCGATTTAACGATGTCCGTCAGTCTTTTGAAATCACGATACAGCCCACATTGTTTGACGTCGAGCATGAAAATTCAGTAGAAAAACAAGTAAGCAAAGACTATAGTCGTGTGGGGCCGACCTTGTGATACCCTACAACACTACCATGTTAGAAGCCCCCTTATGTCCAAATCCATTTTGGAATATTTCGCTTTTGAAATTATGTCACGGAGCACTGCCCAGATATTACCCTCAGAATTTTGATCAGAGACATTCGCCAATATTTACGCACTCCGTCGTGCTGTTAGTTGTTGTGGTCCATTATAAAGCTAAATGTAATCCAATGGTCAACCAAAATGCCAGAGTTATTCCCTGTCCATAACTCTCTTCTCAGGCGTGTCGATTGGCTTCAATTGTGTGATCAGGAAATTTTTTCTGCTTTTGGTTTATTTTAACCCCTAAACATATTGCTGACATTTTTGAAAATAATAGGCCTAGCCCTTCTGAGCCTAACCCTACCCTTGTGAAAATAATAGATTTTATGCCAATAGGGAATTCTAAATTGACAAAATTTGTCAAAATCGGTCCAGCCATTCTTGAGATATAAGCGTTCTAGCTTACATCCCCTTCCTTTGTATATATGTATTGTATATATATCGCTATATATATATATATATATATCCGATATATTTACCATCGGCATCTACGTAACGGTCAGAATTGACCTGTTCGTCTATTTGTGATTTAGCCGGGATTAAAAATATTCGCGGTTTAATGGAAAATTTGAAGTTTATTTAACAGAAATGTTATGGTCTTTTCACCCACTAAATATTACCCGATGACCACCAAAATTGGAAGGCTTCTGGCCATCCTGAAGCTCTAGCCCCATGCTAACTTCCGCTTCGATTGGTCCATAATTGCGTCCTGTAGAGCAACTGCAAAATCAGGACATTTTTCAGATTTGGTCCATTTCAACCCCTAAATATTATGCGACCATCTCCAAAAGAAATAGGGTTCTATTCTGGCTCTAGCCCGACCTCCATTCTAAATTTCGTGAAGATCGGGCCATAATTGCGACCTGTAGAGTGATTACAAATTAACATGGACAGACGGACGGACATACATAGCTAGATCGACTCAGCTCGGCGAGATAGGAAGATCCATATATACTTTCCTATGTGGGAAACCAATATTTCGAGGTGTTACATAATTTTTGGCACAATCAAACTTATAATACCCCCAACACATAGTGTTGTAGGGTATAAAAATTTGTACTGTGTCTAGGATGGTTGGTATTGAAATGAGATATATTTGAAAATTAAAATTTTTAAGTCATAATGGGTTCTAGTTTGTGTGGCGAAACATTGTATGTATAGGTGTCCACGTTTTGGTATAGCCCCCATATAACGGTACGTCCCGATATTCGGTATTTTTATGATTTTTGTCACATTTTTTCACGGATTTGTCTTGGTATTGTTTTGTCATAATGGGTTCTAGCTACGTTAGCGAAACATTGTATATATAGGTCCACGTTTTGGTATAGCTCCCATATAACTGTTTCTCCCGATATTCGGTATTTCGATGATTTTTGTCACATTTCTTCGCGGATTTGTCTAAAAATTGGTATTTGTGGGTCCTAATGGATTCTAGCTCCGTTGGCGAAACATTGTATATATAGGTCCACGTTTTTGTATAGCCCCATGCAGCGGTTCCTCCCGATATTCGGTATTTTGACGATTTTTGCCACATTCACCCACCAATATGTGTAATTATTGTATTTGTGTGTCAAAATGGGTTCTAATGTATCCTTTGCCCTAAGGTGGAAAGAATTAAAAGTTCGGCCTGGCCAAACTTAATGTTTTTTACTTTTTTTTTTTTTTTTTTTTTTTTTTTTTTTGTTATGGTAGGCTTGTAAAGTTAAAACATCCAAAATGTTTTAAGATTTTGTCGAAATTCAAATTTATTACTTTATATGAAGAAAAATTATTATCACATTAAGAACTTATCGTATCACATTAGGAACTTGCATCAGAATTGAGGTTTTCATGTATAATCAACCTTACCTACTTTATAACGAATGTTGCATGTACAAATTCAATTAATTTCAATTAATATGCAATTCCGATTCAAATATTCGTCGAGATCATGTTAAGTACATAATTATGTCCATTATCAGGACTATTAACACATCATCCCAATAGATTCTGCACTTTGAACGTTTCAGCTACTATTTCTAACCGAAGGACCTATTATTTGATATCTTCGCACCCAGTGAAAATTATCATGGTATAATTATTACAAGGTAGCAGCAAAACCCAGCTCTAATCTACTGAAATATTAGTATCCAATTCCATATGACGCTGGGTTTTAGTTTTATTTACCGATTCGGGCAAAACATGAAACATAGTTATATTATTGTCAAAATTAGAGTGAATTCGGAGATGGGCAATATCTGTTCACTTCATCTCGTACCCAACCCCCCCCCCCCCCCCCCCCTACAAAAGGTCAAGATTTTCACAAAAAATAATGCTCCTAATAGGATAGGGTTGTAAAATTTTGTGAATTCTTAATAATCAGTCCTACTCCTCCAAAAAGGGTCTAAATTTTGAATTTTTATAAATCTTATAAAATGTGCAATAAGAGTCCAATTGTCTTCAAATTTAGCATATCGTAATATTTTTTATCAGCAGAAGATGTAGTTTAAAGAAGGAATATATCGTACCACTCCTTTTGGTACGTTTCCCACACTGCCAAAATTTAAAATACAAATTATGTTCGACATGTTCGACAACACACGTATTCCTCTAGGAATGTTGGTGTTTCAAAATAGTCAGAGCTAATTCAATTTTTTAATTTTAATAAAAAGGACGTTATGTTAATATTTAAGAAATAAAAAAACTTACAATATTTACTAAGGCAGGAAAGGTTATTGTCATGGTTGGAAAGACAACCGAAAAAAATCAACTGGAATTTGTTATTTTGCATAGAAGGGCAAAATAGTGAATGGTAAATGCTTAAGGGAATTTTTAAATAACTATCCCTTTATTGGATTTTTAACAAAATTAATATTTTTTAAAGAAAAATATAATCAAAACTATCTAATAAATTATTGTATGGAAACAATTGCTGAATATTATTTACATATATCTGTTTGATATTTCACTCATGACGGAGAATAGGAGACATCAACGCTTGCTTGCATGCTTGCCCATCCGTGATATTTCGGGTTCTCAATGGCAGTATAACTTCTCTCAATATATATCCAATATAGGGGTTTATGACTATTGGCGAAAGTCATCACGACTTAATCTTAATGAACTTCGCTTTTGCTTCGTACAATTACCATTTGCACTATTCGTAAAATCTGAAGCATACCTTAAGGGATAAAGTAAAGTACAGTAAGATACTGTACTATTATGACGGAAATATGTGTACAGTACTACAGCTTTTGTTACAGAAATAAAGTGTACTACTTTGTACCTATCTATCTTGGAAAATATTTTGTTTCATTGCATTTTTATTCAAAAGTTTTAGCGATTTGTCTCACCTTCTCATACAAGTGAGAACGCAGTAGGTTGGTTTGAAAATATACACTTTATAAAAAGGTGACTATGCCATTTGAAAAAAAAATGTAGACAGCTTTGAATTTACGTTCCAATTTTTTATTTAAACTATTTTAATGTGTCATATACATTTTTCTATTTTCTTGTCATTTGTGGAGACTCAGAGTAAGAAAAAACATTGACTTTGGATAGACCGCTCTATATCATCAAATGACTGGAGCTGCATTAAAAAAGATTTCCGGAGATTCAAGTGAATGTATAAAAATGTGCAAAGAAAGTAGTCGAAAACAATGGCAGTAAATTCAGATAACGATCGGGCGAAATATGCACCAATGTATTTAAGAACCAAATGCAATATAATCAAATCAGGTATAACAAGTCTGTCGATCCGATATATTTATATTAGAGATTAATAAGAATTTTTATGGCATTGGAAAGATTCGAGACTCTTAATGCTCTTTGTACTCAGCATCAGATAAATAACCCGAAACCAATCAAATGCTGCAAAATTTCTAGTGAAATTTGGCTTTCCTCTTAAAAACGAAATGTTCATATTCCCATCTACATTGAATGGAAATCCTTCACCTGGCAACTATGAAAGAACGAATATTGCACATCTTACTCATGTTTCAACTAAGTATGTTCATATATAGGTATGTAGTTTGATTGTTATTTGTTCAGTACATATGCGCATGTATGTGTGTATGCACACAGCTGTATTAAACTTTTATAATGTTTCAGTTATTAACATTTAATTCTCGTATAATACCTTCTACTGCAACATCCACAATCTTGTTTTAAGAACATTTATATTTAATGACAACATCTGAAGTTAGTTAGTTCTCCACAAGACAGTTGAGTATTAATTAAAAATTTCTTGTTTGCCTCAATCTTTGAGCGTATTAAAATCTCATTTCTAAGTTGCAAATAAAAGCGACTTTGTTTCTTTTGTTGCACTTAATGTCAGGCCACATTACCACAACAAGAGCAACTACCGTACGAACAAATCAAATTAAGTTAAATAAGTTTCAGGATTCAAATTTGTGTAGACCATTTAAGGGAAAGCTTTAAGGGAATATTTACGCTTCTGCACGTGTATAATAAGTTTGGAGGTTCAATTAATTATGAACATCATTGTAATATTTGAATAAATGCGATTCATAGATTGACATTGTTTACCAAAAGACTTTTTATACCCTCCACCATACTATGGAGAGTATATTAACTTTGTTATTCCGTTTGTAACTCTTCGAAATACTCATGTCAGACCCAACAAAGTATATATATTCTTGATCAGCGTAAATTGTTTCGAATTTGGTATTTGAAGTTGGTAATGGATACTACAGCCTAAGACAGAAAATTCTCTATGCAGGTCCACGTCTTCGTATAGCCCCCATATAACGGTACCCCCCGATATTCGGTATTTTGATGATTTTAGCGACATTATTTACCGGAATCGTTTCAAATTTGGTATATAAAGTTCATAATGGATACTACATCCTAAGTCAAAAAATGAGCCATGTAGGTTCACGTCTTCATATAGCCCCCATATAACGGTACCACCCGATATTCGGTATTTGGATGATTTTAGCGACATTATTTAACGGTATCGTTCCAAATTTGGTATTTGAAGTTCGTAATAAATACTGCAGCATAAAAAAGAAAATGAGCCATGTAGGTCCACGTCTTCGTATAGCCCCCATATATCATACCCCCCGATATTCGGTATTTTGATGATTTTAGCGACATGATTTACCGAAATTGTTTAAAATCTTAAGTTCGTAATAGATACTTCACCCCATGTCAGAAAATTGTGTAGGCCCACGTCTTCGTATAGCCCCCATATAACAGTACCCCCTATATTCGGTATTTTTATGATTTTAGCTACATTATAAACAGATTTTTCTTCAAGTTTCGCATTTAAATATTGTTATAACTTATGACTAAAGTTGCCTATGCAGGTCCACGTCGTCGTATAGGCATTCAGTATTTTTAAGATTTTAACTGAATTTTTAACGGATTTTATTTTTATACCCTACACCACAAGGTGGTCAGGGTATTATGTCTTTATGCATTTGTTTGTAACATGCAAAAGGGAACGAGATAGACCCATAGTTCCCTTTAATGATCTGCATAGAATCACATTTTTAATCGATTTATGCATGTCCGTCCGTCCGTCTGTCCGTCTGTCTATGTATTTTTGTAAACAAAGTACAGTTCGCAATTATTGCCCGATCCAGATGAAATTTTGCACAAATCATTTGTTTGGCCCAAGGACGAACCCTATTGAAATTGGAGATAATCGGTCAAAATTTATATATAGCTCCCATGTATATCTTCGTCCGATTTGCTTTTTATTGTGCACCAAACGTGTAATATCAGCCCGAATAGTATTAAATTTTGCACATACAATCAAATTAGCCCTGAAAAAAAGTATGCCAAATTTGATCGAAATCGGTTCAGATATAGCTATAGCTCCCATATATATTGTTCATCCGATTTTTTATTTTTGTCCTTCGCAGCCGTAATATGCACTCTGTTACAACAATATTTGAAGGAATATATCAAATACAGCCCAGAAATACATGTGCCAAATTTTATCGAGATTGGTTCAAATTAGGATATACCTCCCATATATAACTTCGTCCGATTTACTTCATATTGTGCACCAAACGTCTAATATTTGTCCAAATGGGATGGAATTGGCACTTAGGACCGAATTTAGTCTAGAAGCTAGTGTGTCAAATTTGGTGAATATAGATACAGATATAGCTATAGCTCCCATATATACTGTTCATCCGATTTGTTCATCCACAGCCCTAGTATGCACTCCGTAACAACGATATTCAGGGAAATATATCAAATACAGCTCAGAAATATCTTTGCGAAATTTAATGGAGATCGGTTCCGATTTGGATATAGCTCCCATACATATCTTTATCCGATTTCAAATTAATTGTGCACCAAATGGGCAATACAAGTCCGAATTTAAAAGATACAAATGCTTCGGCATATTTAGTCCTTTGAACTTTAAATTATAATTATAATCATATCGTGTATGGTAGAATTCTCCCATAAAAACTTTTAATTTAATATAGTGGAACGGCCCCGCCCGACTTAAGGCTTTCTTTGCTGTTTTTTTTTTTTGGAAATGACCAAATTTGTGCCAAATGGTGGAGGGTATTGAAAGTTCGGCCGAACTTACAGCTTTTTTACTTGTTAAAATATAAGATAGTTTGTATGAGCAAATTGTCTTTCCACAAAGAAATTGGAGCTATTTTTACCATAAGGGAACTTTTAAAATAACGACATACATATTTAAACCGCGTGTATGCTTCGTAGGAAAATTTTGTTAGAATCTTGTGGCTATACAAAGACATGGGAATAAATTGACAATTTAAATGAGGTTTTCTATTTACAAAGAATATTATAGTGAAATACTAACAGATGGGTGCATGGTAGAATTAAGAACGTAAAGTCAGGCAATCATATGTTTAAAATTTTTTCAAAATATTTCATTTGACTACATCTCGTTTTCAAACTTTTTATTTACAAATCCATTGTATACACACAAATCAGAAATGAGGACTTCTTTTCTGTGTAGCGAAATCTGACAAGGTACATTACAGAAAATACAGAGATGGATAAGCTTATTTGAAATGACTTTATCTTCTTCACCATGGATGGAAGTTTACTTCCATCTTGCTACAGCCTCTTGATTTTCGGCAGGTTGAAGGTTCTTGACCGAAATGACTATAATTAAATAATTTGAAATCTTGACGAGTAGAAAAATAAAACTAAGCGAAAAGTGCTTAGTGTAGCTCTCATTTAACGTTTGTCCCAATTAGTGGAATTTTAAGGGTTGCATTCTTTAACTGCATGTATTACAATTCAGTATTTGTATTGGTTTTCATACCCTTCGCCACACATTTGTTTATAACATGGTAAATGCCACGAGATAGACCCATAGTAACTTTTGAAGATCCTCATAAAATCATTTTCTGAGTAGATTTTTGGATGTCCATCCGCCTGTCTGTCGATGTATTTTTGTGAACAAAATGCAGGCCACATTTATTGTCTGATTCAGATGAAATTTTCCATAGATCATTTGTTTGGTCCATGGATAACCCAATTGATATAACGGATAACCCAACTTTAGATATAGCTCACATGTATATCCTCTTCCGATTTCAGTTTTATAGTACGCCTTATGTGTAGTATGCGTCCAAATAGGATGCATTTCGGGACATCCGACCAAATTCAGTCTAGAAACAAGCTATAGCTATCCTAGCCTAGAAACAAGCAATATCATCCGATTTAATATTTAAGTTCCTCACATTCGCAACATTTGATATGATATATGGTACCAGATATTTCGGTTCAGATTTGAATATAGCTTCCACATAAATCTTTCATTTCACGGTTATAAATATGTTATATCAGCCCAATTTGGAGAGAGTTTTGTACATTCAACCGAACATTTTTCCATTTGGAGAAATTGGTTTCCCAGATATGTTTTACTTCGATTTATAGTTTTTAATATAAGCCTTCTGGAAGTCATATTATGCACTCTGTAAAAATTCCTCCGCTAAATTAGGCGAAAATCAATTCAGAATTGGAAATGTCTCCCACATATTAATTCCCTCTGAAACCATTTTATAACTGCTCTAAAGCCATGATTCAAATAAGCTTCATAGTTGATATGATCTACTAACATAAGTTGCCAATATGAACGTTTTTTGTTACAGAAGCTCTATTAAATATGCATAGTTGTGTAGGGTATCATATAGTCCGCTCCGCCCGACTTGACCTTAGCTTACGGGTTATATGTGATCTGGGACAAAGTTGTTGTGAATTTAAGACGATTGATTTCACAACAATTTTTTTCAAATGGTGGAGGATATACAAATTTCAGTACTGCCCAAACTTACACCGTTTTTGGTTGCTTCAGAAAATATTTGACATTTTATGATTTGCTTTTTAATAAAAGACACAGTCGCTTAATATTACGGTAACAATATATTGTAAAAATTAATTACATTAGGTGTAATTGGACACACCTTTCAATATTTTAATTTCTTCACGGTGTAGGATATCGAAACTTCGGCCCATAAGAACGTAACAGTAATTTTAATTGTTTATTGATATAATGGTTGAGATTTGATGCAGTACTACTTTTTATTTTTTGGAAAAATTGTAAACAATCCTATTAAAATTCAGCACAACTTTCATTTTTTTATACCCTACACCACAAGGTGGTCAGGGTATTATGTCGTTGTGCATTTGTTTGTAACAGGCAAAAGGAAACGAGATAGACCCATAGTTCCTTTTGATGATCTGCATAGAATCACTTTCTGAGTTGATTTATGCATGTCAGTTCGTCCGTCCGTCCGTCCGTCCGTCTGTCCATGTATTCTTGTGAATAAAATGCAGGTCGCATTTATTATCCGATTGAGATGAAATTTTGCAAACAACATTTGTTTGGCCCAAGGACGAACCCTATTGAAATTGGAGATAATCGGTAAAAATTTAGATATAGCTCCCATATATAACTTCGTCCGATTTACCATTTATTGTGCACCAAACGTCTAATATTTGCCAAAATGGGATGGAATTTGGGACATACGACCGAATTTA